ATAATTTTCTTTAATAGTTAATTTAATTTAATAATTTAATAATTTGCTTTAATAATTTGTTCAATATTCAATAACGTCGTGAATAAGCTCTGCGACGAATAAGTTCATGCGCATCGGATGCGTCCATGCTTTCCTCTATCGGATGGAAAATGATTATGAAAATTAATAATTGAGTTTTTCTGATTCATTTTTCCTTCACCCATTTTGGCGAAAAAGGGTGCGGATTATTAATAAATAGTTATGAATTATGAGTCCCTATCGCATTTGTTAGTGTCTGTAGCTCCAGAAAGTACAATAAATTTAGGAAACATTTCGTACTTAAATGCTACAAAATTCACCAAACCACCCAAAACATGAGAATTTTTTTTGTTTTAAATTTCTTTAAACGAAATGGCGAAGACGAATCGTCAACGATTCATACATTCCGAGTACGTATTTCTACGTAACCGTGTATTTAATTTTGCGAGTTTTACGCGGTTTGTTTCAGGAGGTGCTAAGTCTTTTTTCGGGGCCTTCCACAGATATCAAGGTAAATGGGATAGTTAAAAAATACATCAATAGGATGGGAATATATTTTTAAAAATAATAATAAATTAGGAACTGACAAGTTTATTTATTTATTTTAAAGCTGCCTAATTTGAAATGGAAACCACATTGTTTACCATGGAATGCTTCCCAGAGCGTCGAGATGGAATTCGTCGCGAAGAGGGAATTAATAAATTTAAAAAGGTGCAATTAGATGTTTCCCTTACACTTGGGTGATCCGCAGTTGCCATGTTATGGCGAGAGAAAGGTCGAAAGTGGCTCTCGCATCGTCGTATTCACATGTATTCGTTATTGATGGACGTTTTCTGTAAGAAGCGGTTCTGAGGTGATTTGTCTAGGTGATTTGTCTGAGGTGTCATTCCTGTAATGCGTTGACACTCCTATCATTTGTTTTTTGGGGAAAATAACATTGGAGTTACTGGTAAAATGAAACCCAGGTTCATCGCACGGACTTGGAACTTCGATTTGCAGTCTGCCTCGTTTTTCCCTTCGACCTGCAGGGAGGACGAGAGAAACGAGAAAATCCCGGAATTTTTGTGATAAAATGGGAAATACCGGTAGGAAAAAATAACAAGAATAAAATTTCGATCTCAGCGAGAAGATAAGTTTCCTCGCGGAACGATCAGGGATTCTCGTTGGGCGAGGAATTCGCACTTCGCCTGAGGATGTTGGGGATGGTCGTGGACCGAGTGCTTTTTCCGTTCGCTCGCAGGACGAAGCGGTGTCGAGTCGTCGATGACTGGAATGCCTGGATCGCGAAGGGGGAGGCGAGGGGGGGCAAGCGGAATCTCGAGGTCGTGGGGCCGGGGTGGGGTGGGATCCATGCGGTGGGGGGAGGGGTGGAGGGGGGTTGCATCGTGGTCGGGGGGGGAGGGGTGGAGGGGGGTCGCTTCGCTTCGATCTCTCGGATGGGGACTTGTCGGTCGGTGGGATGCTGCGAATCGGGGCGGGATGGCTCCGTCGTCGGGCGAGGGTGGAAAGGTCGATTCAGCACGAGGAAGAGGAACTGCTCCATCTCCGACAGGATCGCTTCGTCGACCGTCTCTTGGGTGAGTCTGTGGAGGATTCTCTGGTGCTTGGGGAGTCTGAGGCGGTGGTCGGCTCCGTGGAGCACGACGAGGGCGTTCGGACATGCGAGTCTGTCTCGGAGGCGCTCGGCGTCGTCGACTCTCGCGTTCGTCGCCGCGCTGCCGACGACGAAGAGGAGCGGGACGCGGCAGCCGAGAAGGGGTTCGTCGGCTTCGCCACGGATGCCGGATGCGTTCCGTGTCGGGAATCCGAGAAATATTCCGGCCGATATGGATCCGGATTCTTCGAGGCAGGTTTGCGATGCGAAGGCTCCGTTCGCCCCCCATCCCACGATCACCAACGGTTTCCGCGGGTGTTGGCGCTTTGCCTTTCTCACGTGCGATCTGATCGATTTCAACAACTCGTCGAGGGCCGAGACGCAAGTCGACCCACGAACCGGGCCCAACGAGACCGGGAACACCTGCCCCATCTTCGACAACCGATGGATCCAGAACTCGATTCGAACGGACGGCTCGACTCTCCCTCCCGTCAACGAGCCGTAGAGGAAGACCATCGCGATCCCATCCCCGAATTTCCCCAGCCGACTCGACGACTCCGACGTTTTCCTCTCCGGAACCTCGACGACCGGATCGCGCAGCGCTTCCCCGGAGACCGACCGACCGAACGCACCCGGCAGCCTCGCTTCGAAACCCCTCGAGAGTTCCCCGTCGACCTCGACGCTCGCGAGATCCAACCGCCGGACGACGACCGAGCGGACCCAGGGCGAGAGCTCGCCCGCCCGGAGAAAGAGGCGAGCGAGCCGCTTCCCGCACGAATCCAGATGAATCCGACGGACGACGTCGCTCTCGCCTTTCGTGGCCAGCACCGCCAAGTGCGCCTCGTTCGCGATCCGCGACGTCTTCGCGAACAGTGCCCTCTGCTCCGGCGACCACGACGACTCGTCTGCGGCGGGAATCTCCTCGGCGTCGACTCGAGTTTCCGCCTCGTCGGCCTCGACCGCAACGGTCGTCTCGTCGGCGTCGACCTCGACGGTCGTTTCGTCGTCGGACGACGTCGCTTCGAGGGAGAAGAGGCACTTGGTCGGCAGACGCGCTCCGTGGGTGTCGCTCGGGACCGTGCTCTGCGTCTTGGCGTACGTGTGATCGGCGAGGAAGTCTGTCGGCGGGGAGTCGTTCGGTTCCATCCCGAAATCCTCTAGTTTTTATTGAATGTTTCCAGCCGATGTTTCGATGACTCTCTTCCAGAGGGAGGGGAAAAAAAAGAAAGGGCGAAAATCCTGACTAATGTTGTAACTGAAGAAAAAAAGCATTTCATTGTTCGACTAGCGCCTGCAATGTCATAAAAACTCAACATGAAAGGAATCCCTTCCGATGTTACCCCACCCCCCCCCCCCCGATGCAACCCCCCCCCCCCTCCCCCTTTCTCCCCCCTCTTCCTCTCCCCTAGTATACTGACTATTAGCAGTTAGGTCCAAGATCCTCGAATGCAAATGCTGTAAGCCCAAGTACATTCTTAACTCAAATTCAATCTGGGATCGGAAGGGAAAAAAAAAAGCACGTCTCATTGAAACCTAAGCCACATGGCTTCTCGCTTACACGATAAACGACTTAACAGGGCTTCAGATGCTCACTGGAAAGGGCGGCAGAGCGAAGATGATCCCTCGCTGGCGCGTTCCACAAGAAAACAATCACCTTTTTTTAGGTTCTGGGATGAAAATTCCAATCGCATTGTTGGAACGAGATCCCGCCTAAACACGGTTGTCGGAAGAGTTTTTACATTCATCTCATGTCGGTCGTACAGATCGAGAGTGCACGGGGGCGAATTTCCTGCAGTTTTTCGTCGAGATGGGAATTATATTGGCCGTGAAAATTTAAGCCAAGAGGATTCGTGCTTAGGAAGGGGTTATGCATGATGGTGTATGCACTAACCTGAACGAGGTCATACGCAACTCAGACAAGGAAAGAAAATATTTTTAAATTTTTATTTTAAATTCATCTAAAAAAGCTGCTCGCACAGAAACATATACGCTACCTATATGACATCACGTGACAAATGGCCAATGACAATGACAAATATTCTTTGAGATGAATTCCGTTTGCCAGTAAACCGTCGTGGAGACAGTCTATCCTCGCCTCTAAGACCTTGCATTACCCTTTTTTCCTCATGCTTACCAACCCCTACCCCCCCCCCCCCCCTCTTCGTCTCCAGCATGTCCATTCACGATTGAATGTGAGATTCCGGTTCTCGCGCTCACAGTGGCATCTGTAAACGTAATAGACGCAACTTGATAACTTCTAACAGTACTAACAGGACTAGCTTCTTTCCGTTTTCTTCGTGGAAAGTCACGATCGTGGGTGACTGTCAAGCCCGAGGAAAGCCAAGGTTATACATACACTGACTTTAGGATGGGGACTTTGGGATTTGGAATAAAAAAAAGGGGGAATTGGCCTCAGTTTCTCGCCCTTCCTGAGAGGGCTTGGCATCGAACATGGCAGAGTGAAATTCCCTTTCTGAAATTCTCCTTTCATTTTCCTTTCTTTCGTCCTTTCCCCGTCTTCCATTTTTTTCTTCGTCAGAAAAAATACCGAGAACTTGTAATTTTTGCTCTCATGCCTCCATAGGCATTCCAAGTTTGCTCCAGGGAGCAAAGCGTCAAGGCGCGACAAGCGCGGCGAAGATTTCAGCGAGAATGGCGATAATTCACATCCGATTAGTCGATTTCTGCCGAGATGTAAACAATGCAAGAAAAACACGAGTGAAAGCACATTTCTCTCGCGACAAATCCTCAAGGATTCACAGGATGCGCTTACGGCTTCCGAAACATGCTGGTACGAAATGATACCAGAAGTATCTGAGAATATCACCCAAGCGACGCGAGGGAGTCACACAGGCGAGAAACGAGTCTAACGCTTCCACCTGTACGAAACATTCGAGACGCAGCGGAAATGAATCGTTAGGGAAAAACATCCAACAGCGAGATCGAGATCGAGGGTTAAGGAAGCGGCTAAACGATTTAACCTTCCAAAGTTCGCAAGCGAGAGTGAGCGATCCAAAATAACTGCGACGATTGACGAGACAGCCACGACGGCGATTGACAGGGCAAACGTAATGGTGGCCGAGACAGCTTTTGCTCGCTAGGGAACTCTTGCTTGAAAGGCACCCAATGAAAAGCTGTCAAGCACGATTACCGATTTTCTGCGTCCATAAAGGATTGCGTCCATAAGTGGGTTATTAACAAGTGATGGAAATCGATGGAGATGAGATAATGTCCATTAATTTCTATCCATAATGGATGTTTACATTCATAAGACCATGAATAAGACGAATAGGGCTTGGACCTCGGCTTCCAGAAAGGACCAGACAGTCTGGTCTGAGTGGGATTGCATTATATAGCGATTGCAGAGCGGAAGAAGATACTGGAAGAAATGCGTCCGAAGACGCTGTGGGAGAAATTCAAGCCCATTGCTTGGCTTCAGTGTGCAACAGGATCCCTTCCTCTTTCTGGCATCGTCGATGCCGAGTCTCCCTCTCACCGCATCTTCAGCCTCCCCTTCTGCTACTGCCTCCTCCACTTCGGATTGTTTTCCTACATGTTCTTTTCGCATTTCTCCCTCAATGCAGAAGTCGCTGAAGCGGAAGTTTTAGCTATGGATACGAGTATCTTCAGAGCACACACAACGCGTGCTTTGTTCCGTTTTACCCAACTGTATGCTCTCTTCTCTCAAGCCTACCTCTTGCTGTTCGGAAAGCGATTGGAGAAGTTGTTCATGATGTTCACGAAGTTAGGTCCATCAGGTTTCGGTTCTATGTCCCTTCGGATTCCTCTCATCCTCGAATTGCTGGGTTTTGCGACACACGTCTTGGCTGCTCTGCTTCTCGGATTTCCTTACTATTCGTCCAATCCAACCAGATTGATTCCTCAATTGATGATTGCTCTTCAATGCAACTGTTTTACGGTGATGTTCCTCGCCTTTTGTCTCGAAATCGGATCGATCGTGGAAGCGGAAGCAACGAAGCTGGTCGAAACAGGCTTTCAGTCCAGCAGTGTGAAAGTTCTGACGTAAGTTGTATTGGACAGAGTCCATGATGAGGTTTTTGGCTCTCCCAAATACAGAGAGTGCTTCCAAATTACCGGTCAAAATATAAATGACATGCATACGGATCCAGAGCAAGAACAACGGGAACTGAATCGTGACATATGGCCCTAAACTAAGAAGACGTTGAACTTTATGCTTTGCGTTTTCGAGTTTTGCACATATACTGTTCTGCACATAGCAGGAGGTTGAACTTTTTGTCATTCATGTAACTAGAATGTATAATGTATAATATGCAAGAACATAAATAGAATGCATCATCATATGACGATTAAATGGAGTCAAAAGTGAATTATAGGGCGAAAATTACATTAAAAGTGACATACATTAAAAGAAAATAACTGGCTATTGGAATGCTTACTTTAAAGACATAGCTTCGACATATATCACGAGTGTCTCATATACCTGAAGTTAATTGAACAGGACTATTCGAGAGTCGCAACCTTATTTTCTGTTCTACTTTAATGACCCTATATGAATGATGAGTTCCATTGGAAAATTTCTATCCCATCTTCAGCTGGAGGTACAAGGAAGTGCGGATGCTGGCTGAGGAAATCTCAGGAGTCCTGTGCTACCCACTCCTCCTGACGCTTCTCGACTCTTTCCTCACCATTTTCTCCACTCTCTACTTCACCATCGCCACGCTGGATGACCTGGGCACTCAGCCTCCCGTGCTGCTCATCGTGGGTTGGGCTTCAGAGTTTCTCTATCACGTTCTCCGGCTCATTGCGATCACTTCTGGACCGCAGTTCGTCATTTTCAAGGTGAAATAATGCGGTGGTTTCTGGCAGAAGTGAATTTAAATGAATTTTTTAAGGCATTTTTTAATTAAAAAAAAGACACCGACTGAAGACTCATGCATTTTTAAGCATCAGGCTTAAACAAATATTGGAAGTTCCTTTTGTTCGAACGAGCGAAAATTTTAATTTTTTTATACACCCACTTCTGCCAATCGCTGATGCATGTGCGAATATATCTTTTTTTTTGGGGGGGGGGGGGGCCGGGGACAAATCCGGAATTGACCTATTCAGCTATTAGAGAGAGTTATCAAGGAAACTGAGATACTCAGGATAACAGTTTTAGTTTCTTCAACGGACTTTCTATGGTAAAGTTATACACGGCCAAAATTGACCCGTTTTGAGTGAGGCCATCATATTGACCTTAACCCTTTGGTTAATGTCAATATGATGGCCGATATTATGATGTGGGTTTCACCGTAGATATCGGTCGTAATCCACGCACAAAATTCGGCACGAATCGGGGAATAAAAAATTTTGGATGCCCATTGAACTCAAGGCGACTGTGCGAATCCGATCATACTATTTTTTCTCTGATAAAATTCCGAATTGATCAGAATTTATGAGTTCGCACTAAGAACTGCGATTGACAGAGAAAGTGAGCGTTAAATTACGCATACAAGTAGGGCAATTATTCATGCAAATTACGGCTAAAAATGCTAACGATGAAAAGTACATCATGTCACGGAACACGAGTTCGCATCAAGTTCTCACCGCACATCAGAACTGGGATGAGAATTTCAATGCTGAGGAGATGTTTGCCATTCGACAGGTGCAGAAACTTCACCAGGCTCTCTTCCTTCGAGAGGAAGCAACTCCCGAGGTGGAGAAAGCCGTCAGCCTCGTTCACGATTATCCCATCGAGTTCGATCTCTCCGGGCATTTCGGGTTGAATCGGGGCATCCTCGTCACGGTGGGTCGATTAAGAATTATAAGTACAGGATGAACTTGTATGATGTACTTGTAATGTATAATGTATACGTTTTGCTCAAGTAAATGAACATTCCAAAAACGACGTTTTTACCAATTTTTACATTTCTTTTTCCCCCGTTTCACAGCAGCGTTAAAAAAAATAAGGAAAAACAGACTAGCAAAAAAAAAATTTGCCCCCAGTGGATTCAGCCTTCAAGTATGTTTTTTCTCCTGAATTAAACACTCCAAGAACTAATTGTCTACCGAATTTCACATGTAATATCTGCCAAATTTATTGGTAAGATGTGCCCCGGAAAATGTACCCTAATGCGATTACAACGGCAGAATTTTCCCCGAAATTAGCACTCTGAGAACTACTTATTCTCCACATATCACATGGTGGTTGGAAGGTAATTTGAATTGTTAAAATTGTCTTACATTTTGGGCTGGAGCAAAGGTTTTTGTGCCAAAAGAAAGAGAATTAAACGAGGTATTATGAATTCATTGGTTTGTTTGCATTGACCCTCCACGGTGCCAAAAAATGGAATCTTCGGCACCACACCTCATACCGTGCAGTTATTTGTGCGCGGTGTCAAAGATTCAATTTCGGCACCATGTATTAAACTAAACATTACCTATTTATATAATATATATATATATATATATTTATATATATTAGACATACGTTTCCTCCCACGGCACAAGATCCTTCCAATGTCGCTTTGCCTCGCCGTTAGATGCTGAAAGCGTCGGTGGCGTACATGGCCATCCTGCTCCAATTCGACGTTCCGCCGCACTAGATGAGGACTCCCAGCGGATGGCCAGCGGAGAAAAAAGTTTGCAAGGAGTAGTCGACCTCGTCTAACTTACTGGGGTCGGAAGGATCATCGACACGAATATATTATAACGCGTAAATAGAATAGCTTTTTTTTAATATGTTCGCAAAAAGTGAGGAATGGCGGTCTGATGCACCAGTCTTCAAAACCAGTGTGTGAACTTGGAATTATAAGAAACATAAATTATATTTTTATGTTTCTGGCTCCATCTTCAACATTTATGTCGCACGGCCGATTTTTTTCGTGGTACAGTACTGCGAAAAAATACTGTACCGAAAATTAATTTTTTTGTACTATGTGAATCGGAATTTCTGGACAAGATATCCCTGGATGGATTCGTCGAAAAATGTGCGCACATCTGACTTAGCCAATAAAAATGTATCACCACCTAATTAACTTGTTGATTTAATTCACGCACAGCAGATACGTCGCCCGGTTTCAAAACCGAGAGAGATTTTGAATTTCTTAATAGAGAATTTCGACGAAATCGTCGAAATCGTTTCGTTGCTGCTTTCCCATCGACATTAACAGAAGCCCCAGCCGCTTTAGTTACCGTTCCCGTTCTCGTTCTCTGCGAAATCCTTTGGTGATCGTTCTGCACGGAATGCTCCGGAAGACGAAGCCGTCGAGGCAGTCATTAATAAAAATTTATAGGAATATAATCGAACTAAAGCTAAAATGTTAACATATGGGGCAACGCAAGTTACTGAGGAGCTTAACTTAATTTGCATTTTTTGCAGACGGAACACGCGTCAACCACCAACTCAAAAACAGTAATAACTTTCAACTTTTTAAAATTAACATCCACTTGATAATGTTATACGAATTAGTAACTACATAGGATTGTCCAAAGGCTTCAACTAAACTGCAAATATTTACAAATATTGTAAATATTTACAATATTTTGTATTGTTTATGAACACAAGCAAAAGGGCCGAATGATGGAATTGCAGCATCTAATCTGGTGTAGTGGCGTACTCATGGGGGGGGGGGGGGGGGGGGGGGGGG